AAACAAACTGAGGATCAATAGGTTTGGCACTTACCTGGTAATTGTAAAGTTTGCATGACATCCAGGAGTTATACCACGAAGCAACTTGGGTCAAGTGACCCAGAGAGTGTGTGTACATTTGCATGATCAAGTTTGCTGTGTGACATTGTGTTGCTTCCATTTGGGCCTCAGTGGACATTTAGAAATATCACAGTACTTGATAAATTTCTACATGAACAGTGATCTAGTCAAAATCAAATGACAAGTAAATATTCAGTATTTTAATCAGGAACAGTATATCAGAAATGTATTTCAAGCTACTGTAGCCTGGTAAGATTATTGAAAAAAGTTTTTTTTTCTCTTTCTTACAAGCTCTTCACTCCTTCAGGGGTTATAGGTGGAAGTTTATGGTACCTTATGGTACAATTTCAAATTTAAGCTTGTAGGGCAGGACAATTTATCTTTGGGTAACTTGAGAGGATCTGTCAAAATTTTCAGTTATTTGTTTCACAAATATTGTTCATTGTACAATTTTTAAAGAAATAAATTTTAGAGAAAGATGTTTTTTGTTTTTTCATGAGTGTGGGACAAACTCAAAACTTACCATCTCTCCTATTCTATTTACAAATATGACACTATCAACATTGCTGATCCTGACAGTGTATGCCGCAGGACATGTTATATGAACTTCGTAATAGACCTCACTCACTGTAGCGTATTTGTGGCTCAGTAGTACAGCATCAGAGTGCAGAATCCAAAGGCCTGAGGTTTGATTCCTCATGGGGACTCAGAATTTTTTTTCGTCCCACACTTGTGAAAAGATGAAAAACATCTTTCTCTATTTCTTTACCAAGCTTAAAACTCATCATTTAGCTCTTACTCTATTTACAAAATAAAACATATTTTATTTGTTTGTTTCCCGCCAAAGGTACAATAGTTATTAATAGTAAATTACATTAATTTTTACCAACCTCCTGTTTTCTAATGCATTTCTTTGACAAGGAATGATAACAATCCAGTCTAATCAAAACACATATGTTGGCCAATATTGTGTCTGAGGAGATGATTTCAAGAAAACAAAAACACACAAAATAGCATTTTATGAAAAGTTTTTTTTGCAATCCAGTGTTAATCACTGAAGAAGTTCTTTGAATGCCAGAAAGCATATTTAACAACAGGTACTTAAATTAAATCTTATTTAATTATCAGTTTGCAAAATATTACCAAACTCACCATAGATCCATGATCAGGACTTGGCTGAAAACAGCTGCCTCACAGATTATCAACAGTAAGCAAAATGTGGTTTGGCTGAATTTAAGGTTTTACAACTCCATTTACCAAGCTACTCTATTCAAAACTTGGAACCTAAAATGAGCAATAATAACAATCACACCTGACTTTGGGTTCTTTTCAGTCTGATTGTCTTTTTCCATAACAAATAGGAAAAAGGAAAGCTCAGGGCCAAGGGAATTCATAGTGCACCCTTAGAACTCTAGAGAGTATAAGTTATGTTTCAATAGAAAAGTAGAAAAGTGAGTGCAAGTCAGGTTGGGGTTTGCTCATCTAACTGGATTATCTATTGTACATATTTCTGAAAACATACTTTTTTCAGCAAAGTTGTAAGGTTAAACTTGTTTGAACCCAATCATTTAAACAATCTGTAAAATTTTGTGATGTGAAAGATGTATTTTACAAATATTTTTTCAAGACTAATTCCTAAGTATTAACTGTGTTTTTACTTTGAGCACCAGAGGGTACCCATTGGAATATGACATTCCTCTGATGAAGGGCTAACACTCCAAATTTCAACTTTGACACTCTTTACGGTGGCCATGCAATTTCCATTATCAACTAAGTGGATAATACTAAATTACCCTGTGATATCAAGACAGATTTTTGCTCGTGTGAACACTTTTCTGTGGGACTATGTTGAATCCTTATATTTCTGAGTCATTCAGCATCTTAACCAATATTGGAGCACTATTAGTATATTTTATCTGATCAGTTAAAATTCCAGTATGCTACCTAAAAGTGGTCCTATTCAAGTCTCAAAAAACTTAACAACAGACTAATTAACAATTATTTGCTGAAGGCAAAGTGAATATCAACGTTCACTGAGCCTGAGGAAAATAATTATATCAGTATAATTGCTCAGGTGCTTTCAAATTGTGTTGGAAATTCTGGAAAGAAAGCTCCAGGCACATTTGTTACAATTGCATTAATTACCAATAACAAGATAAGCAATCAGTTTTAACAGGTTTACTTAATTCAGTAGGAAATATTTCATACTTTTATTTTGATATGTGTTCTGCCTATCTTTTAACATTTTTTGTGCTGACTTAACAATTGAATTTTCTTCTATCATCTTTCTAACTTCCACAGAAACAAAACATAAGAACTGTTATGCTCCTACTATAATCACCTCGCTCACAGAGATTATATCGAGATATGATGCAGTCCTCGACCGATCAGAGCAGATCAATCACCTGAGAAATCAAACTAATTACACATTGTTTTTATAGAGATCTATAGTGACTTTATCAGCCATTACACTATACGCGTATTTCCCAATTATTGAAATAGACTTTTACTGGGTGTAGAAGAAATGCACAGTTAACGTAAACCACTGGAGAACAAAACGAGACAAAAGGAAAGGTCAACAAATATGACACTAGTTAAATGAAGCGGTGTTCTATGATGACGTTCTTAGCTAAGCTGACTTCTCCACCTTAAAGGAAGTGTTTCAACCACCAATTATTACCTAGGAAATGCAAGTCATAAGTTACTCTTCTATAAAAAAAGGACAATTAATCCGAGAAAATATCATCCAAAGAGCAAACCGGTGGATGAAATATGTCAGTGACAAAATTGAAAAGCAACAGAAAAAAACAAAACTTCTAAACGAATAGGAATTCCACATCAGCAACAATTTTTCTCAATTCTATACTCACATATACGTAAACTGTCAGCTATTTTGGCGGCTTCAGACTGCATTTTCTTTAATTAATTAGAACCAGGGGTGATCAGAGACTTGATCAGAACTCATAACTCATCCGGAGGACTAGAAACTTGTCGCACTTGACCCAGATATTGTCAGGCGTTCAAGCAGTGGCCAATAGGACCTGGTACGAGGTTATCAAATTTGACCGAGTAGCAGACTAACTTGTAGGAACTTATGATAGATTGTACTACTTCACAAGCGTGTTTTCGCTCAGTTCTACCGGAAGTTCTCGAAATGAAGGTGTATCCAATCTTCTTATTGCTTGTTAGGTAAGCCGAAAAATAGTTTAACGGTTTAATTGATCACGTGTGGTGGTTTTCTAAGGCTTTTTAAATTACCTGTCACGCAACGTCTATTCCAACATGGATGACAGCCGTGTTTTAACTTAGACATACTTTTTTAATGACTTTCAAGCTGTTGACGCGGGAATATTTTCACTGAAAAGACTCTGGAAAGATTTCCATATAACCCATAGTATACTGAATGGAGGCGCCAGTCCCAGAGGTAATCAATTGTTATTGCCTTTGTTTTCCCTTGTCCACGAACTGTTTATGTGGAAATCTTACCAAGAGTATGTCACTTGGAATTAAACTAGAAAAAATGAAATGACTTAGACAATACTTGGGCTCTCATTGGTCCATAGGTGTGGTCAGATGATAGCATGTAATCAAGACTTTAACGTTTAAGATTGAGAAATATTATGTAACAGCGCTAGCTAGAAGTTACTTTTCCCGTGTTTACATAGCACCCCATCTAGCACTGGATCAGGTGGAAGAAACACCCATCTACATCTTCACTTTCGTGCTAAACGCACTTCCTTTATAAGACACAACAGAGAAAAGTCTTTCTTTTCTTCGTGAAACAACCGCAGTAACAGTTTTCAAATTAAGATTGTTTACATGACAAATTATATTTTTGAGTCTCTGACATAGCTTGGTTTTAAATCAGGTTGTGGGATAGACCTGTACATATTGTAAATGGAGTTACGGCTCAGTGATGAGAAATATGCAATCATTACTTTATCATAGATGTGTGCTGTTTGGCAGAAAGAGAAGTGAACGAATGGCGCCATCAATGAAGTAAAACACCTGTTGTAAGTAAGTAACAAATATACCATCTTATGGATTGGCAAAGGCAATTTAGAGAATTTTCGTGGCAATTTAAAGTGGACTAAACTGATACAATTTAATTAAAATTCAATGTTTTATTGTCACAATTGTCTCTAAAATGACATAAATTTATTGACGTGTTTATTCATAGAAAATGTCTCTTATACTCCATGACTTGTTTAATTCTATGTGCGGGGATACTTGCTCGCCACTTGAACAAAAAAGGTCTGAGAGCTATTATCATACATGCTAATTGAACAATATTGCAGTTAACGCCCTGTCTGGCATTAAGTGGCTTTGAATCCCAGGATATCAAAGTGAATAAAATGATGTTTGTTAACTTAGGTAGCTATAATCTTTCTGGTTCAAATCTTTATTTTTAATATAAAAGTCAACTTGCACGAGACTGTTGGTTGCTCAGTATTCATACATAGAAACAGTTGGCGCTACTTACTGTAAGTACTTCTTTGGTGTGTGTGTGTGTGAGTGTTTGTTACTGGTACTGGAGGTGTTTTTACGCAAGAACAAACGGACTGTTTCATGCAAAATGGCTTTTAAGAAAAACTTTGAAGCTCGATTTAACTCAACAAGCAGTGACATCAGAAAAGCAATACACGTGGTGTTTCGAAATCAATATGCTTTCTTAGAAAGAATGCACTAACGTTGAAATTGTCAACTTTAATAGTCAACTGTATGTTGATGCGGCACAAAAAACAAGTATTTTGTGCCGATGGCGTTATTGATCACGGCTCAGACTAATATTTGTTCTTTGTTTCTTATAGAACGCAGGCAATTTTGAATCATGCATGTATTTCCAAATTGTTTAATTCAAGTTCAAGTCTTGGTCAGCTAGACGTTTGTTTGGCTATGTTTGTCCAATTTTTGGCCACTTTCAAACAAAGAGATGAACAATTTTGTAACGGGCTAGGAATCATGATAAAGTTGCTGAAAGTATCTACATATTTCCAGGCTTTCGTAGCCTTTGAAACAGTCCCTTGACGTTTTCTTCCTTTTTTCTTCTGGTTGAATTTTTTTTGTGAAGATCCACACAAAGCCCTGAGGAGGGAATGGAAATCAAATTAGGAGAACTAAGTAAATTTATTTCATGGATTAGAGCGAGTTGTCCATGTGTTCTTGTATTACTATAACAGAGTTTTGTTATTATTAATTCAGTTATTTTATTCTTTTGGAAGATATTGGAAGATATTAGAATAGTTTGGTTATTTTGGCGTAAGATAAACGAGCTGTAAAATTGCAGCTCATGATCTCACCTGATGTATTGATTAATTTATTTTTAGACATAACATTATAACATTAAATAAGAGATAGTGTAATTCAACACGAGTTTAGTTTCGTAATATATCCGTTCTGTGTAACGTTAATTTACTGTCCCGTTTATTATTATATTTCTTTAAACGTGGCTACGTTAATCACCATTTCGTTTATTTTATTCGAAAATCACTTAACAGCTGATCATACCTCGATCACTATTTTCTCTCTCAGCCTAGCCACGTTTGGCTGGGCTGTTTGCATGCTGTTTGTAGTAATGGTCCGTTTCAGGAACACTCGATCTAGATGTTTCCACATTAACGTGCACTGATGGTTTTTCATCTCCTGGTTCAGGAAGCAAACTGTCTGGGGCAGTTGAGGCAGGATTCGGCGCGAAACCGGGATCTGGCAGGGGGAAAATGGGCGGAAAGATGGGTGCGAAGCGAGGAGGGACCTGTGGAACCTCTGTGGGTTCTGTCTCTTCCATTGACAGTGGTACTGGTGCAGGTGATGGTAGGGGAAGTAAGGGCCCTATTGGAAACACTCTTGGAGTAAGAAGCAGTGGATTCACCTGAGGCGGCGCTGCCGGTGGAACCGCTAAATTTGGCAGGAAGACCCGATTGATCGATGGTAGAGGGAGTACTGCTGGTCGCATGGACGGCATGTCATTTAATGGAATTTCATTTGTTCTATCGCCTTCTCTCTCTACTGTGTCTAGTTGAGGTCCTGCTATTCCACTTGGTGGACGAAACAAGGGCTCATTAGCAATTCTAGTTTCCTGGGTAAACGGGGAAACTGCCTCTGTTGGGCTGTCTTGAAGTATATTCGATGCACTCAATTCAGGAGGAAGTGCACTCTCTAAGGCAGTGGCAGCTCCCTTAAGAGGAAGGGCTCCAACGCCTGTGGGGCTGTCCAAACGTATCCCTCCAAGCTTCGGGGTCTTCCTTCCGGCACCTCCACCGCCAATTAGGTTAGAAATTGGATCCGTGAACACCTCGACGGGCTTGTTTAGATTGTTACCTAGGCCGAAAAGGTTCTCTGGTCTCGGTTTTTTAAGTCCTCCCAACACTTTTGGGCCACGTCTCCTTTCAATCAGTCCACCACCGAGAAGATCTAACTGTCTCTTGAATTTCTTTCCTTTTGAATTCCTTGCGTTATCTTTTAATCCATGATCGTGGTACAATCTATGTGGGCTTGGTACGTTTGATTTAGCAGTTTGTACATTAATGCTAACGCGAGGACTCTGAAATGGTCTGACTAGGTTAGAAGAAGACTCAACTGGTTGAATAGGAGTCGTTGAAGCCTGTTCAGTGCTCTCTGGGGCCTCTACCTGGGTTGGGTACGTCTGTGAAGAGCCTTGATTACTTATCTGTAACAGAGAGGCTTGTGGTAGATTGAATGGTGAAAGTTGTGCCCCGTCATCTTGCGTAACTGTTTGAATGGGCTGTATTTGTAGCGCTTGCCTCGGTTGTTGAGCATCAGTGGCACTTTGTAGCGACTGAGTGGGCACAAATTGTGTTTCCTGTTGACCTCCTAGATAGTTGTACAATTGACGTTTCCATAAACGCTGTCCTTTTTGAATATGATTGGGTAATTCTTGCGTGGACTGTGGTACATCCGACCTTCTATTTTCCTTAGGAATGCCATTTAATGTTGACTGTCCCAGCGAACTAAGAAGGGGGACAGTACCAAAAAGTTGACGTCTTAACTTTTGATCCACAGGCAGCTTCTTTGTAGATTTCAAGGTCCTTGCGTGATCTTTTCTTTTAGATATCGAAGACTTTGCTGTCTGAACACTGATGCTAACTTTTGGTCGTGTTTTCTCCTCCACGGCATTAGCAACTGGTATTATTGCCTGTTGAAATGCTGGAAACTGCTGCTGCTGCTGTTGATCACGTTGTAAAAATGCGATTGGTTGCAAGTTCTGTTGCGTTGGCTGCTGCTGCTGTTGTTGTTGCTGATCAGAGTCTTCTACTTGAGACTGAAGAGGCATTGAGGCCTCTTGAACACCTTGCCTATTTTCTTCCTGGTCTTTCCCCATCATGAACTGAGTACTTTGAGCGGGATTACCTTGGATTGCATTTATTCCTCCAGCAAACGGAACTATAATTTGCCTTCTTTCTGGATTGCTAGCCTTGGCCGTGTGACCATGGTACTTGATTTTCTTTGAAGAAGAAATTCTTGTAACACTGTGTTTCTTTTTGGCTACGTTGACGTCAACAGATACGCGAGGTCTTTGTTCTTGGAGTAGATCCCCTGGGTTTGCAGCAGTTGCTTCTTGCTCAGGCTCGTAATCTTCGCGTTGTATTTCTTTTTGCTGGAGTTGTCTTTTAGCTCCTTTCCAAGGGGCTGTGCGGAAGTTTGGTCCAATAGGTTGATTTATTTTGCGTTCTCTTTCATATTTTGATCGTTTAGATGATTCAACTTGGACTGAGATCCGTGGCCGCTCATAATCAGTTTCGCTTAAACCAGCCCGAGAAGGTTGGGCGTCACCTTGAGATAACTCTTCCACTTGTTGTGTTTCGGTCGCGCCTGCGTTTGATTGAATTAATGCTGGTAAGGAGTGAAATTGTTCCTTCTCTGGGGTGGGTGATTGTATTACACCGACTTGATTCGGCTCCTGCGATTGACTTGATTCCTCTCCATTAGTCATTGCAACCTGTTCCTGGTCTTGTTCGACAGGTTGGACAAATATCTGCCTCTTATGTATTACATCATCATCGTCATCCGATCGCTTTGATGCCTTAACGTTGACAGAAACGTGTGGATTGTGTTCAGTGATGGGAAAATATCCATTAAGAGCTTCTCCTTGACCGGCAAGAGGAACAGGTAATCCTTCGTGTGGTAGCTCGGATAGGCCATATATCTGTCTTTTTCTTTTTCTTTCAGCTTCTTTTTCGGGATCTATTTTGCGTGAGAGTTTATATTTTTTCTTTGCTGTTTCCACGTGAACTGACACGCGGGGCCGTTGGTTGACTACGGGAGTTTGAGTAAGGATAGGTGCACCAACAACCGGAAAGTGTACCATGTGTGGCGGTTGATCTATTCCATACACCTGTCTCTTCATTGCTATTTTGCTAAATGTAGGACCATCATTTTCTTCCAGGGTACGTTTCACATCTCTTGATTGTGGCATAACCTTTTGAAAATCAATTTTTCTCTTTGACACTTCCACGTTCACTGAAACACGAGGTCTTGGTTGGAGGTTTGGACGGGATAGTAATGGATACTGCTGACCTGCTGAAAGTGACTGCGGTACTGCATAGAATTGGCGTTTCTTTGCATTTTCTTTTCTTCGACCCCATGGAATTTTTGGTGGCGTGCGTAATTTTTCCTTTTGCGATATTTGGCCATCTTTTCCCGTTTTTATTCCTCTGGATCTTTGTGGAATTTTGTGCTTTTTCTGTCTCTGTAACTCTTCTATCAACATTCCATTTGCCTTTAATTTATGATTTATGGGTAAGGTGTTAAAAGCAGGCATCATAACGCCATTCTGTTTAAACGTTTGAGGCAGAACTTGCATAGCTGGAAATCTCGTCAACAGTGAAATGCTTTCACGTTTGTTATTGGGCTGTTGCGTTGTTGATCTCCGAGCTGTTTGTACGCTGATAGACACTCGTGGCCTTTTTTTGTCAGGTAGGGATGCACCACTGTTGTAAGAAAGAGGAACTCCATAGGCGGGAACATAACCTTGAGTTGTAGGTAGAAACTGCCGTTTGTGAAGTGGATGTTTCCTTTTCTTTGACCTTTTCTTTGGGACCGTTGATTTTTCAGCGACGTTAACATTAATGGAAGTATGTTTTGGTTGAACAACTTCAGGTTCTGTCTCTTGTTGAGAAGATGGCTGTTCTGCTACAGGAATGGCTGGAGCAACTGGTAATGCACTAGGGAGTATACCTTGAAAAGGAACCACAAATGGTGCTTGGAAAGGTACCTGAAATGCTGACTGCGGAGGCTGCTGCACTGGCAATTGCAATGGTGGATTAAATGCTCGCAGGTCTTGTGGTTGCGATGTCGACGGTTCCATGACCGGCTGATCTTGCGATGGCAACAGTTGCTGTCCAGAGTTTTGCTGTAAATCTTCCCTTTCTCCGACTTCTTCTTCTTGAGATTGCTGCTGAAAATTTTCTTCCTGACCTTGAGGCTGTCCCTCGTTATTGGATGTGGGTCCCTCTTCACTTTCAGCTGTTTCACTTGTTGCAACAAACTGATTTTCTGGAGCGTTAGCAAATTCAGGGTTGCCTCGGTTCGGGAACATTTCTGGGCCATTTTGTTCTCCATCTATCATTTCGTCTCTTTTTTCTCCGGTTTTATTCTCTTCGCGATGTTTAATACTGCCTCGCTTTTTGGATCCTTTTATCTCTTTAACTGCGGGAATTCCGTTCTTTTTTGTCGTTTCAACGTTGATGTTTACGCGTGGTGTGTGATGAAAAGGAATCCCTTCCACTCCATAGTTTAAAGCTGTTGGTAAGGTATAGTGACCTATGGGGAATGAGGATTCCGGTATGTAATTTAGTAACTGCCTTTTGGTAATGGGAGCTCGGGAATGAACAGTGTGCTTGTTTTCTGTTTTTAAGACTTTAGGTATATGTGATTTGGATGCTTGGACTTCAACGCGGACTTTAGGTTTATGATGGCGGTGATAAAGTGGATATCCAAGAAAGCTATTGTAAAGGGCAGCTAGATAAGAGGCCCATGGACTAAGTGGTAGCGAGTCAGTGTTTCCATCTTCTGGTAATGTGTTATATGACCTGTGCACTTGTTGTGGATACTGATGAAATAAAGGTAGTGCTTCTGGGTATGCGGGTTCGGACGGATCGGAGTCGTCAGCATATTTTAGGTATGGCAAAAGTGGAGGTGATAATCGGGACATTGTTGCAAAAGGCGAGTATGTAGGATAATTACGAATTATTCCAGTTCCATCAAATCCAAGGGGCATAACTCTTGGGACTGGTGGAGTAAGGGCTAATATTTGCCTTTTTGATTTTAAATCCTTAGAACGCTTTTCAAGGATATGCATCGGTATTGTAGACCTTGCAGACTGTACATTTATATTTACATGGGGACGATGCGGAAGTTGCGGAACCATAGATAAATAGCTCAGTGCATTTGGCATGGCGCGGTAAGCAGGATGGTATGCATTGAAGAGATTGTAAAGAGATGATGGGGCAGTGGTGTGTATAACTCCAACGCTTCCAGGATTTGGAGCTTGATAAAGAACTCTCGGAATTACGGGACCTTGCTGCTGATATAGTGGAACGAGCTGGCGTTTTCCACGTTTTCTAGGCGGTATGGAGGATTTTGCCGTTTCGACGTGAACGCGAACATCAGGAGAATCATCTTTTGGAGTTGCGGGCAGGTATTGTTGTAATGGTAATGGAAAACGGGATGGTGCGACTGGAGATCCTTCAAGCTCCTGAATAGCTTTTAAGTTAGCGCCAAAACCAGGCAAATGCTCCATGTTGATTCCGTTTGGATTAGGTATCTCCTGCGCTTCCAGTAAAGCTTGATTCTGTAGAGCAGCTGTCTCAAGTTGATTGTAAACTGAGGGTATTGAATCGGTAGATTCTGGTAAGATTAACTGTCTCTTTGTCACGTCATAACTTGGTTTGTAGGATCGCTTTGCAACTTCATGTTCACGGATCGAGGTGTTCCCTGGTATAATAGACATCTTCTCTTTTTGTTCAATGGACTTGTGTAAATCTTCTACATCATTAATTGGAGAGACAGATCCATAAAGTGAATGAGAGCCCATGAGCTGTCTTTTCGTTAGTGGGTGTTGATTTATTGTTGATCGCAAAGTCTTTTTCTGAGTCTGGTCGGTGATAATTGTTTCAGTGTTTTCTGTTTTGGTTGTAGTTGTTTTCGAGATTGTCGACTTTGTTATCTGTGGTTTTGATGACTTCCCGTTTAATTTATCTTTTGCTGAATGTTCAATGTGAGACCGATGAAAGTGATGAAAATCTAGCTCATCTCCATGGATCACATGATTTGGAATTCCCACATAGCTCATACTGTGTGTTACTGTTGAGCCTTGAGGAAGGAATCTGGCTGCAGGACGGAGAATAAATGAATCATGAGAGTGTAGAATAGGCTGGTTAACTGCGGGAGGTGGTTGATGGAATACTATGGGTGGTTGATGATACACAACAGCAGGCCGATGCACTACTACCGGCGGTTGATGGTAGATTATAGGTGGACGATGAAGTACTATAGGCGCTCTGTGAACTACGATGTCTGGTCTATGATAAATTTCAGGTGGTGGATGATAAATGATTGGGGGACGGCTTACCACTATGTCATTCTTTCTGGAGGCTTTTACATCTTTTACCTTTTGAGGATGTAAAATATATCCCTTTTTTCCCTCTGGTCTGGTTTCCTGTTTTCTGTGCCTTTTCTTTGGTTTTTCTGACTTAGATCTATATTTGAGCACATGCGATTTTCCGAAAGCATTGCCGTATCCATAATTCCACCTGCCACCGAAAAAGTTTGGAGCTCCTAAGTAGGTTCCACTGTGTTGTACATGACTTGTGAAAGGAACGAATGCAGGATGAGCCATGTATTGTTCATGTGCATGGAAAATCGGTTGTCTCACCATGGGTGCTGGTTGATGAAATACTACTGGTGGCTGATTATAGATAACAGGAGGACGATGAACTATAACGGAAGGTTGATGATAGACAACGGAAGGTTGGTGGAGTACAATATCAGGGCGATGCACTATGATATCTGGTTTATGATACACCTCTGGTGGTGGGTGATATACAAGTGGCGGCCTTCTTAGTACCACCTGATTCTTCTTACCACCTTTGCCACTCTGATGGCCCTTTTTGTGAAGTTTATCCTTTAGGGAATGATAAGTTGTTGTTGAATTTTTATCGGGTTCCACCGAACGTTGCTTCCTTATTCCTGCTTTCTTGACTGCACGATGAGGACTTTTGATATGTTTTTTTTCGCTATGCTTTTCGTGGGTTTTACTGAGTTCTTGGGCTTTGTCGAGGTGTTTCTCAACAAGAGACTTGCTGAATGCACGGGATTTGCTGAATGCGGCAGGGTTGGGACGAGGCAAAACTCTCCGATTTACAGGAGCAGTGGGCGCGACGTAGTTTGCTCTGTATAGTGAAGGTGAATACCATGGACCTTGGAAAGCGTTCCATCTTTGCCAACTGTTCATATTGGGTATAGCGTTATTGGAAAAACCGTAACCATACCTCCATCCCCCAGCATAGTAATGAGGTGCTCCAACGTACGTATGCGTATGCTTTATCTGAGAGGAATACGGAACAAAAGAGGGACGGCTATGGTAAATATCATGTGCAGTGTACATTGGCTGATGTACCATAGGCGAAGGTTGATGAAAAACAACTGGAGGTGGATTATAGATAACTGGAGGACGATGGACAACAACAGATGGCTGATGATACACAACTGATGGTTGATGGATTACAAAGTCCGGTCGGTGAACGATGATATCAGGTCTGTCGTATATTTCAGGTGGCGGATGATAAATCAAAGCTGGACGTTGTATAACAACCATGTTCTTTTTATGTCCTTTGCGGTGACGCTTTTTATCCTCCTTTTGCGGATGCAGGGAAACGCTCTTCGCTTGTGCGTTTCCGCTTAGTTTCTTTTGTGCTCTTTGAGTACCTCCCTTAATATTGTGCGCCAAGAGTGTAGACTTAAGAAGCGTTTCTGAAGCCTTTGAAGATTCAGATGTGTCCCGTTTGGATTTGCTTCGGGGAGCCTTTTTCGAATGGGTGATTTGATTCCCTTCCTTTCCTCTTTCAATGGTTCCCACTGATCCTTTTTTAGACCCTTTTTCTACTTTAGATTTGTAAAAGGCATGCCCCATGAAATGTCCAATACCATGTCCAAAATGCCCAGGGTAAAAGTGTGGTGCTCCCACGTAAGAACCAGCGTGCGATAAATGTGACATGAAGGGCACGAAGTGAGGATGAGCCAAGTACGTCTCATGAGCGTGAAAAATTGGCTGATGTACCATTGGCGATGGTTGATGAAAAACAACTGGTGGTTGATGATAAATTACCGGTGGACGGTGTACTACGACAGATGGTTGATGGAAAACAACTGAGGGCCTGTGAATAACAAGGTCTGGTCTGTGCACAACTATGTCTGGCCTGTGATATATTTCTGGAGGAGGGTGATAGATAAGTGGTGGACGGTGCATTACTACTAAATTTTTCTTGTTGCCTTTGGAGCTATCTTCTCTGCTTCCCTTTTCACTAATTTTTCGAACCTCAGTTCTGTGAAGCGTTCTTCTACTCTCTTCACTTTCCCGTTCGATATTTTTGCTCTTGTTTTTTTGTTTTCCTGCTTTCTCAACTTTTGATTTTCCAAAGGCATGATGGAAACCATAATCGTAGTTGCTTCCTTCCCATCCCCAGTCACCAGGGTAGAAGTGTGGTGCACCTACGTAACTATGGGTATGGTGAACGTGTGATGCAAAAGGAACAAAATGGGGGTGCGCCAAATAGGTGTCATGTGAATGGAAGATTGGTTGGTGGACCATAGGTGACGGCTGATGGAAGACAACAGGAGGTTGATGGTAAATCACTGGAGGTCTATGTACCACTACAGAAGGCTGATGAAAAACTATTGAAGGTCTGTGAATAACGATATCCGGTCTGTGCATGACAACATCTGGCTTGTGATAAACTTCTGGTGGTGGGTGGTAAATAAGAGGAGGTCGCCGCATAATTACAAGGTTCTTTTTGTTTCCATTAAGGGTAGTTTTTGTTTCGTTTTTTAGTTTTACAACGTCTTCCAGGCTCTTTGCTTCTTGTTCTAAAGTTCTTTTGCTACCCTTGTACACCTCCTTGTCCCCTTGCTTCTTTTGTTTCTTGTGAACCTTGGCTACATCTGATTTACCAAACGCACTGTGGAAGCCATACATATCTCCTCCCATTCCCCATCCACTACCATAAAAGTGAGGTGCACCGACGTAGTTTCCACCAGTAGACACGCTTGATGTGTAAGGCGTAAAGTATGGATGAGAGAGGTAAGTATCATGAGCGTGGAAAATCGGCTGGCTTACCGTTGGTGATGGCTGGTGGAAGACAACCGGCGGCTGCTGATAAACCACTGGCGGCCTGTGGACCACCACAGAGGGTTGATGATAAACAACTGGTGGCCTGTGAATAACAATGTCTGGTCTGTGCATCACAACATCAGGCTTGTGATATACCTCTGGCGGTGGATGGTAGATTAGTGGTGGACGTCGGATAACAACCTGGTTTTTCTTTTTAGACTTTCTCTCTGATTTTGGTTTTACTTCCTTGTCATTTTTCGTTTGGTCATCTTTTGCTGCTCTTTTATGTTTGTCTCTCTGTGACTCTTTTGACTTTTTTCCTTTTAAGGATTCAGAACTCGTTTTGGGTACTTTTGATTTACCAAAGGCGGGACTAAAAAAGCGAGGCTGGCTCCAGCCATAATTCCATCCACCAGGATAATGGTGTGGGCTTCCTACGTAGGTGGATGTGTGCTGTATGTGGGAAGAATATGGCACTGGCACAGGATGAGCAACATAGGTATCATGAGCATGCATAATCGGCTGATGAACTAACGGTGGAGGTTGGTGAAAGACTACTGGAGGTTGTTGGTATATAACTGGAGGTCTGTGGACAACGACTGAAGGTTGATGATAAACAATCGAGGGACGATGTATAACGATGTCCGGTCGATGAACAACTATGTTTGGTCTGTCATATATCTCGGCTGGTGGATGGTATATCATCGGTGGCCGAGCTATAACAACTTTGTTCTTTTTGTGTCCTTTCGATTTTTCTGACGATTTTGCTTTTGTTTCGTCTTCATCACGAGTGTCGCGCTTTAATTTTGAATGAAATTTGTCCCCGCTCTTGCTTGTTTTCTTCTGGCTGTTTTTTTCGTCCTTGCTTGTCTTTCTATTCTCTACCTTTTCAACAGCTGATTTTCCAAACGCATGACCAACATATGCACCGAACGGCTGACGATGGAAATAGTGTGGAGCTCCAACATACGTTGCTGTGTGATGAATCTGGGATGTGTATGGTACTGGAATAGGATGGGCAAGATAAGTGTCATGGACGTGCATAATTGGTTGGTTAATCATGGGCGGAGGCTGGTGAAATATAATCGGTGGTTGGCGGTAAATTATTGGAGGTCTGTGAACCACAACTGAGGGTTGATGATACACTATTGATGGTCTATGCACCACGATATCTGGGCGGTGCATTATTACGTTTGGTCGATCATAGATCTCCGGTGGCGGATGATAAATCATTGGCGGTCTGTGAACAACAACTAGGTTCTTTCTTTCGCCTTTTTTATCCTCAGATTTTTCACCGACCTCTTTTGCCGTGGTACTCTTAGCAATATGCCCTCCCTTGCCAGAGTTGTCTTCTTTTGATACCTTTGAGTTATCTTTTTCTATGGATGACTTTCCAAAAGCAAATCTCATTGGATGAAAAAGATGTGGTACGTGGTACACGGGTGTTGGATGGTGCAGTACTATAGGAGGTCTGTGTATTATAACGGGAGGTCTGTGCACTACAACAGGAGCTCGATGGATAAGAATAGGTGGACGGTGTACGACCAATGGAGGTGGATGCATCACAACGGTTGGCTTATCAAATATATCTGGAGGTGGATGATATACTATTGGTGGCTGATGAACTACAAGGCCGACGTTCTGTTTCTTTGCGTTTTCATTATTTACCAATTTTTCAGTGCGTGAACGGCTTGCCTCTCTTTTTTCGTCCGGCTTTGTTTTCTGTACGTCTCCTCTTTCCTTTGTTTCAGACTCAATCTTGTAACTGGAGGTGTTCATTCGTTCTATATGCGATTTACCGTAAGCAGTTCCTTGAACAACAGACCCAAAGTAATTCCCAGAAGGATGCAAATAAGGCGACGTAGGAACCATTATGTGCTGTGCATGCGGTGTGAAGATTTCGTGGGAGTGAATCACAGGGGTGTGAATTATCGGGGGCGGGTTGTGAAAGACGACTGGCGGCTGGTGATAAATTATCGGAGGATGGTGGACGATCGTTGGTGGTTGTTGGAACATTATCGCCGGCCTGTTGTAAACCAGTGGTGGTAAGTGCATCAAAATATCTGGTTGTCGATATACTTGAGGGGGTGGGTGATAAATAAGAGGAGGTCGATGTATAATAACGACGTGTTTGCGGTGTCCTGGGTGAGCAAAAGCACTTATAGGACGGAGATGGTAGAAGCGCTTACTTCCGCGATGGTGATGACTGTGTCGGTGATGTTGGCTGTGATGATGATGGCGATGATGGTGATGGAGGTGACGTTTGCTCAATTCAGCTGACCTCCGTTTCCTAGACGCGTTGTTGTTCTTTTTCAGAAATGAGTCTTTGAGATGTTTCCTTTCGTGTTTCTTTTTGGATGACTTACTTTTGCTATTTTCTACTTCTGATCTTCCAAAAGCAGGTCCATACGAAGAATAGCCATATGCGTCATATGCGGGAGATGGTGTGTATCCATTAATACCAGAATAGCCGTAATTAGATGCGTAGTGGTATTGGGCTGTCTGTTCTGCAGGTAGATGTCCCGAAAGCCCCCATCCGTAATCGTTATGCCCAGGATAGAGATGAGGCGCTCCTACATATGTTGAGGAGTGTGCTATGTGGCTGACTTGTGGGTGAAACACAGGGTGAGCTACATAGGTATCATGGGCATTGTAAATTGGCTGACTAACCATTGGTGAGGGCTGATGAAACACTACTGGAGGCTGTTGATAAACCACCGGTGCTCTGTGCACGACTACAGATGGCTGGTGGTAAACGATCGAGGGTCGATGAATTACAATATCTGGTCTGTGCACTACGATATCTGGCCGGTCATAAATCTCAGGTGGCGGATGATAGATCATAGGAGGTCGTGCGACGATGACTTTATTCTTTCTCTCTCCTTTGGTATGCTTGCTTTTTTGCTGTGTTGGTGCGGCATGGACTTTCCCTAAATGTTTACGTTCGTGGTCTTTTAACTCATTAGTGTACTTCTGGTGTTCTAGGTGCCCTTGGTCACTGTTCTTTACGGGATTTGCGCCCTGTGGTTTTGAAACTTCTGTTCTTCGAGCCCAGTGTGCTTGGTTTAGCGTGGGAAACATGTGTCCCGTTGGACCGCGAGGGATGTTGCCCGGATAGTTAGTGACCCCGCCATGGGGTAAGCCTACGTAATGGCCGGCGTCATTTACAACGGAACCCATGTGAGATGCAAAAGCCATTGGGTGAACAACAAAACTGTCATGTGAATACAGGACAGGCTGGTTAACTGCTGGAGCAGGTTGATGAAAGACGATTGGAGGTTGATGATAAACGACTGCAGGTCTATGAACAACAACAGGAGGCTGATGATAGACAATAGGTGGTCTGTGGATAAGAATAGGAGCTCTGTGTACAACAATGTCTGGTCTGTGGTATACCTCTGGTGGTGGATGGTAGATAATAGGAGGCCTGTTGACGACCACATCTTTCTTCTTCTTACGGCTATCTTTTTTCTTTCTGTCATGATCTGTTTCCACAGCGCTTTTCTTTGACTTCTTGTCTGCAACAGAGCGTTTCGGCTTGTTAGAACTTTTGCCTTTGGAATCCTCGTTAGTAGCGTCTTTAAATGATTGGTCAGATTGTGATGTTTTCATAATGTCGTTCTCAGTACTTTTATCTTCTATTCGTGCAACGGTGGATTTCCCATAGCCACAACCAGGGCAGTGCATGTGAATCATATGCATAGGATAGTGATGAATCAGGTGGGAATGATGAACTATCATTTGCGGTCCCTTGTGTATTATAATTGGCGGTCGATGGAAGAGTATTGGGTGGTGGTGAATGATATATGGACGACGATGAATTATTATTGGTGGCCGGTGAAATACTAATGGAGGGCGATGAACTATTATGGGTGGTCTGTGTATAAGGACTGGTTGACGATGAATTATGATAGGGGGGCGATGTACTAGTATTGGTGGTCTGTGAAAGACGATTGGGTGACGGTGGACTATTATGTCTGGCCTGTGAACAACTATTGAAGGTCGATGAATCATATGGCTCGGTGGATGATACAATATTGGTGGCCTGTGAATTATTAGTAGTGTCTTTTTGGTGCTATTGGTGTTTTTGTCTGCGTTTTCGTCAGGTGTAGAGGTTTGAGTTTCCTCACTACTACGTTTATACATTTCATAAGCTGTCTCACCTTCAAATGTTGTCCGAGGGTCTGCTAATGCTCGCTGTATCCTTGCACTGGCCCCAATACGACTGTTAACGCTGCTGGTCAGCGGTTTTGTGTAAGGACTCCAAACATCGTCGATGGAGCGTTGGATTCTTGTTGCTGTTTCCCCCGAAATAACAGTGTGTCGCTGGGGAGACAAGGAAAATTCACTAGAATACCCACTTTCCACTGGGTCGCTGAAGTATGGAAGCAAGCTGTGAAGGCTTCTCTGAATTCTAGTTTGGGCCCCAACAGGACTACGTGTCTCCCACTGCTTATGGATCAACGAATCAGACAATGCTCGCGCAATTCGTTCTCCTGCTCCAAGTTTAGCACTGTTCTCCTTATTTTGCTTTGCACCATCTGCATGCTCCGTCTTGTTACTTTGTTTTTCATTGGTCGGCGTATCAGATTCTGTTTTTGTCTTCGTTTTCTCGCCAGAGTCTTGGTCATTTTCCTCAACCCTATGAACTTTGTCTCTACGGGTGGCTTTCATGGGGACATGAGATTTTCCAAAAGCTCCAGTGCCAATCCCATGCATAAATATCTCTTCGTGAGGAACACCCTTGTATGTTGCTACGTGGCGGACATGTGAAGCATAGGGAATAACAACAGGCTTAGTAACCCAGGTATCGTGTGAATGCAGAACTGGTTGATGGACCATTGGTGGTGGTTGGTGAAAAACTATGGGAGGTTGATGGTAAACAATGGCTGGACGGTGAACCACTACTGGTGGCTGATGATAGATAATTGGGGCACGATAAAGTACGATAGGAGCACGGTGCACAACAATATCGGGTCTGTGATAAATCTCTGGTGGTGGATGGTAGATGATAGGTGGTCTATGAATGACTACGGAGTTCTTTTTGTTTGCTTTCTCTGTAACCTCCTTTGCCTTGTGATATTTCACCGGGAAACTATGACTTTTGTGAAGTTTCGTTCCTGTTTCTGTTTTGTCTTTGCTCCTTGTGAGAGGAATATGCTTTCGTCTAATGCGATGCCCTTTTCTCCCTGGCTTCGACTTTTTGTGACCTCTCTTGCCCTTCACAGTGGCCCTTGTGTCCCCCTTTTCTTCTTCAGTCTTTTCCTTCGCAGGTACCTTGGATTTTCCATAAGCCATGTAATGAACACCTCCGCCGTGTCCGTGATAATATGCATGTGGTATATGATACAGGTGTCCCACGTGATGCATTCGAGATCCGTATAGTCTCACCAAAGGTCTGTGGACGTAAGTGTCATGTGACCTGAATACTGGTTGGTGTACTACAGGCGGAGGTTGGTGGAAAATAAGAGCCGGCTGATGGTATACAATGGCTGGCCTGTGCACAATAACTGGTGGCTGATGGTAGATAATTGGAGCTCGGTGAATAACGATAGGAGCACGGTGAACCACTATTTCTGGCCGGTGATAAATTTCTGGTGGAGGGTGATAAATCACCGGAGGGCGTCTCACAATAACTGCGTTTTTCTTTCCTCCTTTTTGGCTCTTTGCCTTTTTAGTTGTCAGACGTGAAGTAACGTTTTCTTTTCTTTCGTGAAAAGGTTTGTGGGAGGAATCTTCCTCTAGCTTTGTTGAGTTGGTATCACCACTTATTTTGTTTCGTGCGGATGCTTCCTCTTCTAACGATTTGGTGTGTTTCAAAATATGTGACTTGTAGAATGAGTATCCGTGTCCTCCTCCAAAGTGATGAACGGTGTAAGCGTCTGGAACGCCAACGTATGTGTGATGATGCAGCACTCGCGAGGAGTAAGGTACCACCACTGGGTGAGAAATCCAGGTATCATGGGACTTTAGCACTGGCTGATGAACCATTGGTGGCGGCTGATGAAATACCAATGGAGGCTGGTGATACACTATTGCTGGACGATGCACAACAACGGGTGGCTGGTGATAAAATATCGGTGCTCGGTGAATCATAATTGGAGGTCTATGGACAACAATTATTGGGCGATGATAAATTTCAGGTGGCGGGTGATATATTATTGGAGGCCGTCTCACTATCACAGTGTTCTTTTTTCCTGCTTTTTCGTTTGTCTCATTCTTTGCTTTCTTACTGTTGTCCTCAAAGGAGGTCTTTTTCGAGGCAACTGCTGTAATGTTGTTACTGTCTGCAACAGTGGCGTTCTCTGACGAAGAAGAACCTTCTATTTTTGATCTTTTTCCTATGGGTGGGGGTCTTCCGAACAGTGGATTTCCGTAATTTGTAATAACGTTAGGCACCCCTACGTAATGTCCAAAATCTCGTACAACAGAGCCATGATGCGTTGCATAAAATGATGGATGGACAGTGAAAGAATCATGCGAATATAGAAGCGGTTGACTAACAGCAGGAGGTGGTTGATGAAAAACAATTGGCGGTTGATGATACACCACGGCCGGCCGATGAACAATTACGGGTGGCTGATGGTAGATAATGGGTGGTCTGTGTATCACTAGGGGAGGGCGGTGAACGACTATATCTGGGCGGTGATAAATCTCTGGTGGAGGGTGATAAATTATTGGAGGGCGATTGACAACTACGTCTTTCTTCTTTTTGTTTTGTGTGCCGTCTTTGGAATCGTCTCCGTCGTCCTGTTCTGTTTCCCTTCTTAACTTAAGTTTCCCTTTAATGCGCTCTGACGAGGTGTCTCTTTTATTTACTACGTCGACGTCCATATTTTTGTAGCTTAATTTTTCCTTGGACCCCTCAGTTGACGTAATAAAGTCATATTGATCATAGATTTCTCTCTTTTTTAAGACCTTTGGTTTCCACAAGTTTGTGAAATAAGCCATGTAATCGCCCAAACTATCACGCTTTGTTTTCTTGAAATGATCTGGCTGTGTGCTGTTCTTAGCTTGATGTGGTACTTTTCCTTTTCTGTAAGAGCAATGTGCCCCATGACATCCCTCTCCATAGTCACCAGAGTACACGTGGGATGGAATTCCATAGTATGTCTTCGCATGGGAAACCATTGATGCTGTGTGATACACCATTGGCTTTGTAACCCAAGTATCATGCGAGTGTAAGATTGGCTGATGAACAACTGGCGGAGGCTGATGGAATACTATCGGTGGTTGGTGATATATTATTGCTGGTCGGTGAACGACTACGGGAGGCTGATGATAAATTATTGGTGGTCGATGTAGCATAATTGGCGCTCGATGAACCACAATATCTGGTCTGTGATATATCTCAGGTGGCGGGTGATAAATGATAGGAGGACGGTGCATGACAATTGAATTTTTACGATTTCCTTTAACTTCCTTTGGCTGCTGTGCGTGTGGGTGCGACAGGCTATGGGTCTTTGTATCATTTTTCTTTTCGTCGGATTTGGCATTTCTTCGGTATTGATGTCGCTCGTGTTTTCGTGAAGTAAATACATTGAGTCGGTGATATCGTTTTAAAGTTTTCTCCCAACTTTTGATATTCACTTTCCGTTTGCTTGCCTTCCCCGCACCATGCTGTTTGTACAATGGGGCCTTTCCAGTATCGTGTTTGTCTGTTTCATTTTTCTTACCCGACAGAATTTTAGTTTTCTTAAAGGCCATCCTTGGAGCCTCAGAAGGTGAATTAACATTCCTAGCACCTAGTGATCTTACAGGGATTTCGTTGGTAGGCGCCATGCCTTGCATACCACCATTAACTCCTCCTGGTAAACCTTCCATTGCTCCCATAGGCCCTAGAGAATTAAGGCCTGCTGTACCCATGTTGCTCATGTCATTGATACCGCCAAAAGTGTTTATATTGTTCATTTGATTTGCACTATTAAAATTGTTCAGTCCGTTCATTCCATTCATCATAAAATTTTGTGGATTCACTCCACCGAGTAGACCAGGTGGTGGATTACCAGCAACGTTTATGGGTGGAGGCATTGGTGTTATTATGTTCTGTCGTTGGGTGAATGGCATTCCCCCTCCAATCGGAAGCTGTGGCATTGTCCCCTCTTCAGGCATCATACCCATCTGCGGCGATTCCATGCCATTCATTATCGGTATGTTATTATAAAACTGTCGTCTAAATGGACCGTTCATGTGTCGGAAACGCCTTTTGTGACGCTTGCGACCATGATGCTCGGGATATTCCTCCGGCTCCTCCATTCGCGACCTCTCATATAAGTAAGAATCGCGAAAATGGTGGCGATGATGGTGTGGGTACCAATAATGCAAATGACGGCGATAAAATGGTGCGTCGTCGTAAAAACTTTCAAAACCACGCCTTTCAGGATAAGAGTGGTATGGATTGTAAAAATGACGACGATGGAAATGTCCGTACGATCTTCGCATGCCAGGATACCAGTGGTGATGGAGATGGTATGGTGGATAATGGTAATGGTGGTAAAAAGATCGTTCTTGTGCAGCCGCTGACGCAGAATGAGAACCTGGGCGTGAGACCACCTGTAAAGAAGCAGGTTTGGCTTTGACTTTTACACCGGCAGAATTTGCGTTTATTTCCAAATCGGCGGATTTATCGTCCACTTGAAAATGTCCCACTTCAGGCCCATTGGATGGTTTTGCTTCGCCGTCCCTTTCAGCATATGAATCAAGATCAGAAGCGCCTCGAGTTTTCACAATTTCCGATCCACTGTTTCCTAAGGCGTCTCGAATTGGTCCTACGGGTGCATTTTGAATTTGAGGCACGGTGTGTATTGCTGCTTCGCTTTCTTGAGATGATGATTGCGTTTTCGTTGACAAATTCTCCTTGCGTCCCAGTGCAGAAGCGGCGTTTTGTTCACCTGATGTAGCTGTTGTGACTTGCGTTTCTAATTTCTCAGTGGGGGTCTTAGTTTCATCACCACTGACCTGTTTATTGACATTTTCTTTGATTAATGTTTGAGCTTCCTGTGGACTTGCTTGCTTGCCTACGATAACGGCTTTAGCTACACTATTTCCTAACTGTGATGGAGACCCCGGAAATTTGACAGCGTTCTTGTCGTTAGGAAGACTTCCCATCTTTTTACTCTCGTCAGCGTTATCCTGAACACTTCGCACCTGTGCGTTTTCATCAACTACCGTACTTACTGTTGTCTTGCTTTCCTGAACATTTGCACTGTTTTTCTCTGCAGAACGTCCACTACTATTTACATTATCACTACTTGAATCAGCTTTATCGTTCACGCCATTGTTTTCCGTTTGCAGTTCCCCACTTTCTTCTTGTTTTTTGTGAACATTGTTCTCATTTTCCCTACTCGAAGAATCCTCTCCTTCCTTTAATTCCTCTGATTTTGATTTACTGCTGACGGAGTTTTCCATCGACCCTTGCTGATGATCAGCAACAGAACTGTCAGTGGCTCCATTATCAGAGCCTTTTTTCTCTTCCTCAACTGGGACGCCAATCGATTCGCTTTCTGGCTGGTCGACTTTAGAGCGGACATTCTCTTCAGTGTTTAAGTGCAATAAAGTATCTTTATCCACACCAGAATCTGAAGTCAAAGGCTGTATGGGTGTTTCAATACCCTGTCTCTTTTGAGGCTCTACAGTCAACAGTTGTTCATAACTACTCTTTGGCAACTCGTCCTCGACTTCGGTTGGACTTCGCTTGTCCCTCTCTATATGGTCGCCATTTTTATAGTTTATATTGTCTGGCCAATCTCCTTCATTCAAGCCTCCTAGATTACCTGTTGTATATGTACTCAGAAGATCTTGTTTAGGGTACGGCTTGGCTTGTATTGGCGACAAGTTAAGGTGAAGGAGAAGAGAATGAAATAGTGCTAAAGTCGCCAGAATATTTGGCGGCGACCAGCCAAACATTATGTGGCTTTTTAGTACATTAAAACTTTCCCAAGAAAATGAGCGCGTTCTCTCCAACCATTGTTTTGTTATTACATCACAAGTAGTTTCTATCGCCGGTCTGTGAACAGTAAAAAGATGATATAAGGGGCGCGGAATTTGGATTAAGTCTTCTTATCTCATAAAACCAGATGGAACACCTGTTAGTTTCCAATCAAAAGTATACTTTGTGACAGGTATTCTTGTTACGGCAATCAAAACCTCCCTCTATGAGTGGTGAACTCGCTCTATGAGGTGCACAAAATACTGGTGCCTCTTTAAGTTCAATGGACAATTAAAGTGTGGGGACTTTACACCAGAAATACACAGTCACAATAACCTATTTTTTTTACTCACATAAATACTTGCAAAGTATCGAAGAAGGAAAACATGATTAAGCATTCTCTGTCCACCAGAGAAGCAGCGTTGCGGTTCACATCACATAACAATGATAATTAAATGTTTTTGATTTGCTTTAAGAACTCTTCGCTGACGAAATATTGGGAATTGATGTATGTGTTCAGATGTTTTAAACATTGAACTCATTTTCATTCTGTAACATGTTCAAGAGGCGATGTTTTGACTACCGCCTGCCTTATGAACAAAATGTTGGTGTCATGTCAAAGGATACAAAATAAGATATAGCTTTCTTTAAATTAAACGCTTCAATGCATTTCCTTCTATTTTCGCGGAAAAGTATGTAAACCACCTTCTAGTCAAGTGCTTGTTTTATTATTTTTTTTATTTTAACGAACCCAAAGTGGACTTAACCGAGAGGCAAACAAATAATTTTACCAGGAAGTAACTGATAAACAAACTGTTGATGCTTTGACCAATAATTGCCCCGATGCAGAAACAATTTAAATTTAGTTTTCAAACGAAATTCTAAAACAAAGCGGACGCAAAGCAGACTTAACCAGGTAACAAACAAATACTATTACCTTGATGTAACAATTAAACAAACTTTTGATCCTTGGATGGGTAATTGCCCCAATGCCGTAAAATGCTTTAAATTTAGTTTCCTAAGGATTTCTTAAACAAAACTATAGCTGAAAGATTTCATTCACAATATTTTATTTTGACTGAAATGCATTTGGATGACAGTTGAAATTTCAGTTCAGGTGACCGGGTACAACTCAGATTTTAGTGCGACAGACCATTAGCCTCAAGAACTTGGTGATGTTCTCATTTCCGTCAAAATTCAGTTTCGTATTTCAACATGCATCCAATTTAGCATGATTTCTCAAGCGATTTTACCATGGGGACTTTTTGTATTAATCGGTTTACATTTCAGCACGCGATGTAATTAATTAAGCACCGTTTTAAGGGATTGTTGGTCGGTTAAACACAATATGTTCGTCAGATAAAATATTTGTCGACTTTTTTTGGATATTGCGTTGTAAGGAGGGGGCTTTAAAGTATTAAACGACCTCTTGTAACTGAGCCCTCACTTTTAAAGCAGATTTCGAAAAGTATTAGTATTGAAAATCTTACTTCATCGCCTCCTCACTACTTGTCTTGCCAAAATCTATTTCCGTTGGAAAGATGATCGTAGCTGCTGATCACGTTTTGTGGTAAACGCTGAGACGCTTTTCTTCAGAAAACAGGCTTTATTTGTCATTATTATTATGTAATGATAGTTTTAGAAGGCCAACTACAGTTGCGAAGATCAAGTGTCTATTGCACTTTGTTGGAATGATAGCTGCTTATTTTTGTAACCGAGGAAAATAGGATGCATTTTTTAGGGCTATGTTTCGGGTCACTGTCAATAGAAAACTGCAGAGAAGTCGGCTTAATTATTTTTACAAAAATTTCTTAACCGTTGCTATCTTCTTCTCTTTTTTCTTTTTTCTAAACTTGCTTCCGATAATGGAAAAGCTACTGGTGGCCGAAAATAAGTCTTACGAAGCTTACCGAACAAATTCTAACAAACAGGCCTTAAGTGAAACCCCTGCAAATGGTCTGCGCTTCGCTAGATTCTTTAATGCATCTATAGTTTCAGTTAAATGACTGAAAACTCGTCAGCGTTCAATACGGGTTGTACTTTTAGGTGAAAAACTCCAATTCAAAGGAGATACCCAACTCATCAAGGGAGAATGTGTAATCTGTTATGTTTCCAAAAGAACTAACTCGATGGAGCTTATTGTCCCTCAATTGTCTCTCTTCCGCTAGTTCCTTTCCATGCAGCATCAGTTTAAATATCATAGCATTACCGTGCATTGTACTCATTAACCGTTTAACTTATATTATTAGCTTTCTTTACGAATCGGAATGGGACGTGGTGTGTCTGTGCGTATCATGGTTAAATCGATGACAATTTTGAGTTTATTTGCGTTGTTCACTACTCTTCTAATATCCTTCATGAATGGTGTCTGTAGACAGAGGTAAACTATAGGGTTACTCGGTAAATACGACACTTTCACTTCAAAGGAGAAGACTTTTCAACTTCTTGACGAAAAAACACCTGTCTTTATGAGTTGTTCACCTTTCACACCTTATGACTATGTTGACAAAGCGTCGACTTATATCTAATTATAATCACAGACGAAATTAATTTAACTCTTTAAGGGTTCAACCAAAACAAAAGAGTTGTTGACCTTTTTCAACTACCATCAAACAAACGCCGAACCACTTGTTGACCAAAATCTCGATTAGCCGTGTTCAAACTGAGGATGTGACAAAGTTGATTAACGCTGGCTGCATTTTGGGGTTTTTGTAAAATATAATTGGTTACAGAATTCCTCGGAGACTTCTAATTGACTTAAATGCGTTTGCTTGCGTATCGATTGTTTGTTTTGCCGTGTACATTAATATTTTATGAAAGACTGTCGTTTGCCTGTTCAAATTATACAAAATAATTGGAAAGAAAAACCAAGTTCTTGAATAAAATGCGTATTAAAAAATCTCGGGCAAAATGATAATTAGTAGTTTTTGTTATATGCGTTAAAGAGTGACTTAATTTTATTTTTTAGTTAGGTACTTGTTCAGTGCAACCGACCCGCTGTAGGAGGTAACCAAATATGGCAAGGTACCCGCTGGATCTTTATCGCACTAACACAGCCATAACAACTTGAACAAAGCAAAATCAATCTCTCCTGACTTGCCTAGCAGGTGACCTAAATAAGTTATTCATGAAAGTAACCATTTATTTCTCTCTAAGACAAAATAAAAGAAATTAATTGTATTACTTGCATTTTAAGCGTGAAACCTCATTTAAATGAAGAGAAATACCAAAAGGAAATTGGGTTTTAAAGTTCATGGTTAAGTGATAAAATTTATTGGATAACTTTCACAGATTCATTGTGTTTCGTCTTTTAAATGTTTTATTTGACACGTTATTTTCAGTATTACAAAAGAATATTTAATAACTTACGTAAGTGTACTTTTCTCTTATCTGCAACACTAGCGCGGTCTTATCAAGGGTTTAGTTTGGTCTTTCGTGTCTCGCGGAAGACTATGATCAACATGAGACTAAATCGCTTTCTCTTTTTAGCATTTCTGGTCATAACAAGTCTTCTCGTGGTGCACAGTAAACCGCTTGCCCAAGATAACGAAGAGAAAGAGCGTTTGAAAAGAAATGAGCCCGAAGAAGACGCACCTGACTCTTCAGGCGAAGAACAAACGAGTAAGGAAGTTGAAAACCCAGCGGGGGATGAACAAAACGAGCCTACAGAAAAAGGAGATGAAAAACAAAATCAACAGAATGAGCAAAAAATAGATCATGAAAATTCTGTTGAGCAAAACGGTGAAGATGCTTCTACAAACGAAGCGGCTGATGAAGCGGAAGAAAACAGCAAAGATGAAAAGAGGAAAGGTTCCAAGAGATGGCTCCACCATGGGTATGCTGGTTATGGAGGGTGGGGTTATCCTGGCTGGGGTGGAATTCATGGATATGGAATTTATCCTGGTGCATTTGGGCCTGGGTATGGTCTGGGCGCTGGATATGGTCTCGGAGCTGGTCTTGGAGCTGGTCTCGGAGCTGGTCTCGGAGCTGGTCTCGGAGCTGGTCTTAGCTGGCCTGGCTACTGGTATAGGTCTAGCGTACCAAAATACGCGAAAACTCAAGGTTCATCCAAAAAGTTTGGTGTCGAGCATCCTTTGGGCTATGGTCTCGGATATTTTGGTGGTTATGGTGGTTATGGCGGTTATGGTATTTATGGCGGTCTTGCCGGCCCGTGGAGTGGATACTATGGTGGGCCTTACGGGTATGGATTTGGTTTTCCAGGATATGGCTTTATGCCAAACCCAGCTTTGTTTCCCACGTCCTTTTTCAGGTCTGGTGTTCCAACAAAATCAGATAAGAAAGGCGCAAACAGAAGAGAAAATGTAGCTAAGAGATTTTATGGTTACGGCCATTTTGGTGTTCCCGCTGGGTTTGGATATCCTGGCTGGGCTAATTACGGACATCCTGGATTCGGTTTTGGAGTTCCTGCCTTTGGTAGCTATAGCCCTTTCCTTGGGTATGGACCTTTCGGTACTTGCTTCTATAAATCCAAAATACCCAAAGACAAAAAGGACCGTAGTAAGGCGAAGCGAGACACAACTGGGAAAGTCCATAAGAAATGCTGTGGAGGATGCGGAGGATGCGGAGGATGCGGAGGATGCGGTGGATGTGGAGGATTCCTGGGCTGCGGAGGCAGCTACGGAGGACTTGGAGGATGTGGTGGATTTGGCCTAGGAGGATGGGGTGGATTAGGCTTAGGAGGATGGGGTGGATTTGGGCATGGCTTAGGATATGGAGGATTTGGCCACGGTGGATGGGGATGGGGCGGTTATGGCTATCCTCTATCTGGTGGGTGGGGCTTAGGAGGCTATGGCGCCTGGGGCCCAGGCTGTGGATTCTACAGATCAAAGGTTTCAGGACATGATAAACCGGAGAAACCTGAGAATAAATCGAAACGGGAGGCTGATGACAATGAACAAACAGAAGACAAAGCTGAGGAAGAGCAAGCACCAGAAAGCTCAGAAACAAAAGATGACAAGAAAGACAAGAGTAACTGCGGCTGCGCACCACCATCATCGGAC